TCTCTTGCGCAACTTCCTAGCTACGTTGGCTTTTCATCAGCATATGCTTTTGGATGACCATCATTAAATTGGATCGATGATCATGAAAAGAGCATGAACGTGTAAATGAACAGGGCACCAAAGCGGGGCGCGGGCTTATTAGTTGTGATAAGTTCGTGCACTCCTCGTCCCTGAAATTGAGGCAATGCTCTCATCACGCCTGATATCTCTTTGTTTCCATAAGAATCCATTGATCAAACACACCGTACCATCATCATGTATTTGGTGAGAACCTTTGAACCTTTGGTATTCCACGCCGTACCTCGTCCTCTTAATTACCTTCCCATACCGGGCGTTCCGATGTCCTCCCTCAGTCCGGTAATATATATTATAATCCTTCCCAAGTCCGGTAATATGGATTATAACAGACCATCTAATAATAACATAAATAAATGCAAAACAAATAACACCCAAACTGATGAAAATAATTATAATAACTAGGCAAGATGGGAAGGTGCTGTAAAGTCCACAGCAATGGTTGCCATGTGAACTCTCCTGTATAGTGGTGAGTGGCTTTTTCGGCCAAAAGAAGACTTCCCCGAGGTCACAAAAGTGATCCGTTGGCGGGTTCAACCATCAAAAATGAAACTTCCCTGGCCACTGCACCTGGCCTACGTGTTGCAGACCTACGGCAATAACACCGTAGTCTTCCACTATGGCTTGAGCTTAAAATTACGCACCGGTGAACCACGTTAGGTCAACCTGTGATTTCACCTCCCATGGTTTTTGAGTGTCGACTTTCGCATGACCAGTGCCAATGATTTATTTAGTTATTCTTGTGGTTGGAAACAATGCGCTTCGTTTTAAATAAGACAACAAAAAAAATTGGAGGATCCGGTTCAGCACCAAATTTGGTCGGGAACAGCCATTGGCTCACAAAGGCCATCTCTGGACAACGAACTTGCTTAACCACTGGGTCCCCTGTGACTTGACTTATAGGATTCATCGGGACCCTGAGAGGTCAAATGACCCTATCTACATACTGGTAATGTAATATATTTGAAAGTTGTCATCTTTGCGATCTTATTTATCAATGCTGTTTACTACGCCAACAGAACCGAAATTGGTCTTAGACTACATTCGCAGAAAAACTGGTCAAACTGGCAGAATGCTATGCATTTTATTATTTACCCCGCAGCTGCATTGCTAGGTAAAGGCGGTAGACGTGCGGCAAAACATAAGGTCATACCAGGTGTCTGACCTTGCCTGAACCCTAAGGAGTTAGAGACCAACAGGGCGCCATCACGTCTGCTGCAGTTAGCTGGCTGAAGTCCTGCCCGAATACATGACGAAGTGCCAAGGGTATGTAAAACACAGGCCTTCGTTTTCCTGAACAGCTAGGAAAACGGCCGATGCCTCGTGCAAGTAATCGAAAATGGCCTTAAACTTCCATGACCTGACATGAGAGAAGGTCTAAATAGACTTCAATATTCAAGAAAGTAAATTATTTCGCACCCCCAAGCCAGTGCTGCCCTGTCTCGGGACATTTTCCCGCCGCATCAGAAAAAGCTCACCAGTCGATTTTGATACTGCTCCTCGGGAAGGGTGAGAGTAAATATATTTTCTTCTGACGCTCGGAAAAAAGATCGGAAGCACAAAAACACATTATTCACCTCAGTAAATGGTTTAGCTGTGTTTGACTCAAACAAGGTCGAATATACACTCGTTCGTGGCACCTGCGGGCAAGACAATGCGATGTCACGTTATTTCATAAGTACGTGCTTTTCTTGTAAAATCACAACACGTGCGTGCTTCTTCCGTCTATTCGTGCTTGCTTGAAATAGTAAACGTTTTGTTGTTGCTTGTTCTCTCATTAAAGCAAAACCAGGCCAGCTGTCGCTTTCAGCAGTCGATTTCACACACTATTGAGTATATGCGTTGAAAATCTGAATGCAAAACTGAAAGCTCACGTTGCACTTGTTCGAGCCTCTTGTTGTAACGACTTTCGTTAGGAACTATGATGTTAAAAGGACACTCGGCATATTATCATGCAATTGTTTTATCTTGTATTCACCTTCCTTAATCCTGTGAATTGATGTATCATCTTGTAAAACAACTAAAATGTTACCTTGTATATTAATACAGTCCCGATGTATGTTGAGTTGTCAGCGTTTAGCTTGGACTCATGTCTGACGCATGCCAATTTTCCATGCAGCACGAACGTTCTCTTATCACTTTATGAAGTGATCTTATCGCAAGAATTCTAGTACTGGAGATAAATGGTCAAAATGACAATTTTCTCAGAGCGCTTTGCGAAGCAAAATCTCATCTGGCCATTAGCGAATATGTGATACATGAATATAATAATGTTGCATTAAAATGACGAGCTTCGAAAATGTCTAGGAAATGTCATTTTTAACGGGAAATTCCGCTTATAAGTAGTTGGACAAGTTCTTGACCAATGATTATTAACTTCGACGCTGGGCGATGTCCGGTGCATGAAGACAGGTTTACTGCTAGGGATTTTTTTAGGAAGTTTTATTTAGTTAAATGATTAAAGATCTATCGGACTTGTGCGGTGGGTAGTCGCACGGCATTTGTATTACATCATGGGACACATCCTAGTGAAATTGCAGGCAATAATCCTTTTCTGGACCACTACAGTTACACCATCTTAACGTACCCCTCCACCAGACGTTCAACTTTCAAGAAGCCAAGCGCAAAGAAAAACGTGCAATTTTCACAAGTTACACGCCAGCCTCAGATTCCGCCAAGATCTCTGACACGAATGGATCGTCCCGTCCTATCAAAGAGTTTAGCGAGCTGATCAGCCAGTCAGGTCGCGCGCGTGAGCTGAGCTGAACCGAGATACAACATCACGGTGTGCTACCCCGGCTCGGGCACTCCTGACGGCGGATGGGTCCATATCCGAGGTCATGCACGACACAGCATAACGATGAGCAAAGTCCGGCTGGCCAGCGTTGCGATCCTGCCGCGGCTGCATTTACTGCACCGATAAATATTACAGTTGCAGTGCTCCCCTGTAAGCATGATCGGTCTTGTCCTTCTGCGACGGGATGCAAGAATCGACTGCTCGCCCTGGGGAAGCCGGCTTCCCCAGGGCGAGATGATCATGTTGATCCTTCATCATCATCATCATGATCATTCCCCAATCGACAAGTTGAGCCAGGGAGAGCACCAGCTCAGTCAGGCCGAGCCCTATCACCCGAAGGGACCACTGACTCCATGGACTCCACATGGACTCTTGTGCATAGTCATGCTGTAACTCCGCTTGGCAAGAGGCTAGATCCGTTTGAACACAAAGAGCATGTCAGACGAGGTGAGCGGGATTCCTTGGATGAAGACGCTTGCTTCCTTCGCCTTGCCAGTCGCAATGATCGCTCCTGTAGAACTTCGAGAGCCAGGTTTCGTAGGAGCATGATTAACGCCCAGTGCTTTAAGCCATGCTGCCTATGGCAGTCCTGAATGCTCCAGGCTGCTGAGAAGTTCCAATGGATAGCGCGCAGCCTCAACTCGGCTTGGGACAGTGTCCACCGACTTGCAGGTCCCTGTTTCTCAAGGCTGCTTCTCCAAAAATTTGGGTGATGGCATTATTAGAGCAAAGGATTTGACGCCGGGATGGCCTGTTCGCTGAGCCAGGTTGTGTCCTGACAACCTTCTTCCAGCCTTCTTCCAGTCCAGGAAGGCCTTGGCCCAGGGGACGTCGGCAAACTCCATGTTTTTTGACGAATTAGGAGTTGGCTGCTGAGCTGTCGTGCTGCTTTGTTGCTGTTTTAGTGCACACACGCTGCTGTGAGAGGGAGAGCGACGCCCTTCTCGTCTGTAACTATTCATCACGTTGTAATACAACTATCTATAGATTTGTGAACACCATTGGATTCAGAACCATTATGAAGTTGCGTTTTAGTTTCCGCTTGCCGTTTATGTTCTGGTGTGTACTCTTTCCGTATCCTCGCAAGTGGCAGACACGCCATCGATTAGCTCGCGGCGGGTGATATTCTCCGCTGCTCCGATAGCGTTCAAACGAGCCCATCGTCACCAAGTGCTAAGTCTATGAAGACAGGTTTGCTCACGTCGCGCCACGCACGGTGGGTCCCTACCTGGACCGAAGCGCGACATAAACCTTCCTCCGTCTACAGTGATTCAGGACGTAAGGTTTTGGGTCTGCTAAGCGATTCAGAACATATAAGGGCTTGGGTTTTACCCCCGGCGATTTTATCCAAACTCAGCGATAACTGTGCCTCCGGCTTTTTAAGGGGAACGCGGCGAACGTTATCACGCCCTTCACATGGAGCTTCAGAAGCTGCGTTTGCCATATTAACGCTCAGTGGCCACGGCGTGAACGCGATGCACAAATGACCCCTGGACGTTTACAGAAAGTTCATGGGAAGGAGACGCAACCCAAAATTCATCGCTGAATAATGCAAAGTACTGTTAGTGCTTGTTCAAAAGCCCAATGGACGCATGCAAGCAAATCCATGATAGTCGCGTGCTCTTTGTGCTTCCCCTAGGCGTCCCTTATGCTCCCCCTGGACATGCTTGTGCCATGCATACCCGTGTACCCCTGGATATGCCCTGCCTGGCGTCCGCGCCCTCCTGGACACGCCCCTGCCTGACGTATCCGCGTCCCTCCCCCTGAACACGTCCCTGCCTGGTGTCCGCGTCCCCCTGGACACGTCCTTGCCTGACGTATCCATGCCCTCTCCCCTGAACATGCCCCTGCCTGGCGCCCCGCGTCCCCTGAACACGTCCCTGCCTGACGTATCCGCGTCCCTCCCCCTGGACACGCCCCTGCCTGGCGTCCGCGTCCCCCCTGGATATGCCCGTGCCTGACGTCCGCGTCCCCCTGGACATGCCCCTGCCTGATGTACCTGTGTCCCCCTGAACACTCCCCTACCTGACGTCCGCATCCGCCGCAGGCCGTCGCTGCAGGTGATCGAGCCATTTGACGCGGTGCACAAACGCTGGCGTGCACCACAACCGTCACGGCGGCCAGCTCGATGACGGACTCAGCTTGGGCAATACCGAGCGGCGCCATCATCAGCCTGGCGCCCCGCTTCGGCTGGCTGCTGTACCAGGGCGAGGAGGAGGAGGAAGGTCAGTGCCAGGGGGCGCGCCCGCTGGCGGTCCAAGTGAGCAGCTTGCCACTAACGTTTACCCATCGGCAGTGGCGCGCTCAGAACAGTTTCAGAGACGCATCAGAGACGCATCCAGGACGATTCAAGGGAGAGTTCTGCGTACTGTTCCCGAGTACGTTATCGTGCAAGAGCTCTGCTCCCCCTAATATGCTTTTTATACTTGTATCTCTTGTGCTCTGCTCCTGCATTCGCTGCTCTGTCCCCGCTGTTCCCGTCCCCGCATTCCGCTGCTCTGTTCCCCCATGTTTTGTCCTTCCATTTTTTTCGTTTCCTCTCAGTGCTCTGTCCTTCCGTTTCTCTCGGTCCCCTCAATGCTCTATCCTGCCGTGCTTCGGTCCTCCAGTGGCCCTGTCCTTCCATTGCTCGGTCCCCCAGTGCCCTGTCCTTCCATTGCTCGGTCTCCCCCAGTGCCCTGTCTTCCATTGCTCGGTCCCCCAGTGCCCTGTCCTTCCATTGCTCGGTCCCCCCAGTGCCTGTCCTTCCATTGCTCGGTCCCCCCAGTGCCTGTCCTTCCATTGCTCGGTCCCCCCATTGCCTGTCCTTCCATTGCTCGGTCCCCCCAGTGCCTGTCCTTCCATTGCTCGGTCCCCCAGTGCCCTGTCCTTCCATTGCTCGGTCCTCCCAGTGCCCTGTCTTTCCGTTGCGGTCCCCCCAGTGCTCTGTCCTTCTGTTGCTCTGTTCTGACATTACCAACTTGTCCTCATGCTCTGTTCTCTCCTTGCTTGCTCTTACCTGCCCTTCTGTACTTTGTTCTCTCAATGCTCTCTCCTCCCGGTGCTCTGTCTGTCCAGAAGTGGTGCGACCAAGTAACCAGGGTGGGGGGGGGGGGGGGGCATGACCGCTTGGAGTTGATAGGGCTCCTTGGGCTCGTAGCCCCAGCATCTTTTGACTGCGCAGGACGCTTAGGTCATCGAGGCATCAGCATCGGATTCCGAGCCTAAATTGTTGTCCGACTAAAGATCACCGGGCCCCTGGGACAAGGAAGTGCTTGCCACCGCTTTGACCGTCTTGTGAACCTTATGATTTGTCTGTCCTCTCACTTCACTGCGCTGTTCCCTCGCCTTGCGTGCTCTCAGTGCCCTCTCATTCCTGCACCATATCCTCCCCTTGCTTCCTGTACTTTCCTTGCTGTGCTCTGTCCCCTCCAACTCTGTCCTGCGCACACTTAATTACCCGTTACTCTGTATACCTTGCCTGCTACCCCGTGTAGCATGACATGCTTCGCCGGATAGATATTACTGTTCTGCCCTCCATCTCCCTCGAAGCCTATTCCCGTGCCCCGTCTTTTCCGGACTCCGCCCAAAAGGAGGCCACGGACCGGTTCACTTCACCAGCCGACACGGAGAGCGTGTCCAGCGGTCAGTGCGAAGACGGCCGTATCTCTGCCGCCGAGGTGCTCCATCCCCATAACGTCGAGTCATCACCCCATAAGGCTTCCGCGGTGGGTCAGGTCAGGAAAACACCCATATATATGCACGAGAACCCCGTGTTCAGAGAGCGGCGCGATCTCCATGCGTCTGGGAGCTGTGGCCAGATTACCATCGGGCACTCTCGCCGGCTGACGTCAACAATTTACGGCGCCTAGCCGGGTCCGCCGCGGAGGTTGCCACGCGGAGCGAGCGTGACTTTCGGCGATGGTGGCTGGCTGTTGGCTGTCGGCGTGAGGTACGTGGAGTTGGGCTCGCGGTCGCGCGGTCGGCGAAGATACTAGTAATAGCAACAAGGAAGGCCTGGGGCAAAGGCTGGCTGCTCTCTCCCCTGGAGCAGTTTGTTGGCTGGACCACGTGGTAGGCAGCAGGGTGAGCGCCTCTTTCTACCGGATCGTCATGCAAAATAAGCTGCGATGAATCTAAGACGCTGATACCGATAACCAGTTTAATCTAATGTGACAACTGCCTGACGAAAAACAGGCCATCTCGGTTTAATGTACAGTACAGTGATTGGGGCGAATCGGCCTGCGGTCTGATCAAACGTCTGCCGACACGCCCACCAACGGATAACTAAGCAAAGTTATTGTCCATCGAGTGACAGGAATGCTACTTGCTGCTTTTGGTCGTAAAAATTGGGACAAATCCAGGCTGGTAGGCTAGGCCAGGCATGGATCTGGGGCAGGCGAGGTCCACTTAAACCATTATAACACATGACTTGAAATTTAAGTTCACTAAACTGAAGAGCATACACCGAATGTGCAGGGTTTTGCGCAGAGCAGCCGGAATATCTATCGAGAGTGCGTCAACCATGCACTGATCCTATACATCTGGGATCGGTACTAGATGTATGGATCAGTGCATAGTTGACGATGATCGTTACGTTTCCGAAAATGGAGAATCGCGGTCAAATGTGTCATATTGTATTATCCGCCGGGATTGGCATAGTTAACAATACTGCGGTCAACCTCATTTCAGATGAGCACAACGATATTTGGACATCCTTACCATACCCGGACTGGCTCAATGAACGCACTTACATGTGGCTTCCGTCATAACGTGTCTCAGCGGGGTTCGTTTTCCAGCGGTCCGGTTTGTTTATTCATGCGAGCTGCCGGCCATCAGTTTGGCAAGCGTTACCCCAGCTACTGCTCCAGGTTCCACCGTCGTACTTGCTGGGGAGGAGGGGGGGGGGGGGGGGGCCGCGCCGCTACAAGCGCTGGCGGGCATACCAGATCAGATGACACCCGCCGTCACCTCGTGACCCCTCCGCACGTCACGAGGGCGGAAGGGTCACAAGGGCATGGGCGCAAAATGGCCCCGATGCCGACACGCTCTAAAACACCAAATCACTACCACGACCCCTCCGCACACCGGCGCCACTTAGATTGGCCAAGAGCGCCACCTAGCACTTTCTCTGCCTGTTAGCACGGCGCGAGCGGCGGGCGGCGCGCTCCGACCGCCGGGGATGCGCGTCGTGCGGCGGCTGCGCCCAGGCGGCTGGGGTCATGTCAACAGCCCCGGGGCGAACTCCAGACCTGGGCCGCCGCAGCGGTGACGGCGGCGGAGCTGCCGACGTCTGGGCTGAGAGGGCGGCGGGCTCGTGTGGCGAGGGGACGTGTGCGGCCAGAGAGGCGGTGCTCTCGTGCGGGGATGTTCTCGAGATTGGCATATTCGCCTGTCGTCGGCCGAGAATGAGCTGGGGCGTAACCAATTAAGTGATCCAACGCAGAAAACGAAGCACTTGCATTCTAGGAGGCGTTAGCGCATTATAAGTGATATAGGTCGACATATATACACACACACACACACACACATATATATATATATATATATATATATATATATATATATATATATATATATATATATATATGTATCAATGAGAGCACCGTCAGCAGCAAAGGTGTGCAGTGCGCAAAAATTTGATCGGTGCATGGACGTCCTGACATAAAAAGGGCAGGTTGTAATAATTCAAAATCCTGAAAAGCTTTTGAAAAGCCACGTAAGTTGTGTGGTGAGGACTGGCGGTCGCATTTAAAATATAACAGCCGAGCCAGCATTGCTTCGTGTATGGACCGCTACGTAACGAGGCCACATAACGAAAACGTATAGCGACTGTGTTGTCCCATAAACGCGAACGATTCCTTCTGGCGTCAGTAGGTAACATGCTCTTTGGCATAATAAAGGAAGATGCCTCGCGATGTTCGCGTGCGATTGCACCGCAGGTCAGTGAATCTTGGACCGGGCCTGCATCCGTTATAATGGTGTCGTTTCCGGGATTTGTTCCTGCTGAAATACACGCTGCGGCGAGGCTCTCGTCGCTTCACTGCTGGACCGGCGGAGTACGCGGATCAGAAAGCGCGTACGCCCGAAGTGTGCCGCGAACGCATCCAGTGTGTTCGGTATGCGCATGTCATCTAGACGATCTTAAAGGCATGCGGAGCCCGGGCAGCGTTTGATTTTGCTGAAGTGAAGACCCAACGGAGTTGCATCGAGACAGGGACTACAGCAAGCACATATGGTGTGGTGCAAATCAAATATAAAACTGTCGATCGCCTCGGTTTACTGATGCGTGGGCTTGAGCGTTCACTATGTTGTGCAACTGGGGAAAGCCTATATTTGGGTGCCCATGCATGCGTTTATCGAACGAATAAATGTGTGTTGTCCCGCGTGGGAGGCAAACTTTTGTGTTCGGCTTGGCACGATGTGTGTTATCGTGACCCTTAGTGCTGAGACTGTTGCATACGAGTGTCAACGTAAGTGACTGCTGACGAGTGTCAACGCAAACCAACACCTGCACACATTGCAAGAGTCCCAAAGCCACAAACGCGAAAAATGGGCCGATTCGAACTTTAAAACGGCATGTGAGCGTCCGGTAGATTTGATATCGTTGTGCTTGATTACGACAGATATGGAAAGTTTCTCACCGCCGAGCCGGTTGCGATATGTGGTGGGAGCCTAAAACAGAAACACGCAGTCCTTGCTTTCCTTTTTGTTGGAGTGGGTCAAATGACCCTCGTGCGGCCATCCGACAGGCATGCAAAACCATCATGGTCCATTAGCTGTCAAGTGGTCCAATACACATAAATCAATTAATCCTACTCCTCCATTCACTTTCTCTCCACAGAATTGGACCTGGTCTTCGAGTCAGAGTTCCTGTACCGCTTTCCCCACGAGGAGGAGGAGGAGGAGGAGGAGTCCCACTCGGAACCGGCGTCGCACGAGAGGCGCGGCTGGGGCCGGTCGCCGTGGAGGCCGACCGGGGACATCATCAACGCCATCGACCAGCCAACCGGCTTCCTGCTGCACCGCAACAAGCGGATGGTGCGGGACAAGAAGATGGTGTACAGCGGACTGGAGAACGTCTTCTCCATGTGAGCAGAGCTGACAGCCATGACTTCGGAGGAGCTTTGGAAGCAATGGCTCCAGTCATGGAAGGGGTTATGGCTCGGCTACTGAGATCCGCTCGGTGGTCAGCGGCAAATTAGACAGTTGTGCAAAGTGAGCCGAGGGGATATGGCTATGCCCCATACTAAAACGACAGAAAGGATGTCATTACATGGGGAAAAATTTTATCGGTGTAACGAGGGAGAGGGCGGGAAATTTGAACCGTTGATGGAGCATACATCATTGGTGTATTTGCCACGCGCTCTCCCCAATTTGTCGAGGTTTAGGCCATAACGTTTCAGCCCAACCTTGTAAGGCATGCCTGAAATCGAACTGACGTGAAGTGCTACGCGTCGAATAAGTATTGGAAAGAACAGCTGCACATGAATTCAGCATTCTCATCATTTGGTATCAAGAAAATATGAACAGACTTCCGTTTTCCACAAGGAGGCACATTTGTGTGATGCAAGTTGATGTTGATTGCAAACTATTCAAATTGATTCTTTGCTGATATTTGCATTTTAGCAATGGTTTTATATAGCAAATGCATACGAAACCTGACACCCATTGAGGTGATATCTAAGTCGGCTCAGGTCCGATTTCATGTGGATAGGTGTACTAGTCTGCCCTCACCGCATCTTGTGCGGAAGGCAACAGCAATTCACATGAACGCAGAACGACGGCCCAACTCCGCACCAAGTTTACCTCCCAGTAGGTATGATCGTGACGGTCGCTGTGACTGTCACCGATTTGCGCGACGATCCGTCCCAGCTGACCCCGGCGCGTTGGTTTTCAGCTTGGGTCTGGACGGCCGCGCCTGTCTGCTGCGGGCCATCTGTGAAGTCAGCGCCACTCCTCTGGTGTACGACGGTATCGTGGGAGAGCTGCTCAACATCGCGCTCGTGTGAGTCTCGTCCCCGGCCTCCGCCGCTAACCTCCCCCAGTTTTCTGGGGCCAGCCTGAGTGGAATGAGCCCTGGGGTTCACGGTCTCTAGTCCCCGAACGCTCTGTTCACCTGATGGAAGTTGCCTCTCCGCGTTGCTTGTTGGCGCCGGGTAGAAGTCATCTGCATGGGCTACTTTCTTCTAAGCAGGGACGTCTTAGCAACAGAGACACAGTGCGGGCTCGTCACTGCCTGTTACAACCCTCACTGGTAACCTTTGTCACCGCGTGAAAGTCATTTTCTTCACGTGTCTCTGTCACTGTACGCCTTCTGGTTTGTGCCAGAAGACGTACAGACTACCAACATCTCCCGAGCGTGTGTTGTGCGCACACCCACTCGTGATTTCTCACCGCCGCTACCGAGGCTGTCTCTTCCCTGCTGCGTGACACCGGCCCCGCGTCATCCACAACATGACACGGCAGAATCTGGACACTGATAGCCGAGATGGATCACGCCGTGATCGCCACCGGTGTGGCACCGGCCGCTCCATTCATCACCCACTTCTCTATTCTATTCCACCCTCTTCATCTCCGCCACTCCCTCGGCGGAGGGCGATCTCGTGGATGTCTTTTGTGGCCACCGCGATCGCCGATAAACGGGCCCGCGACCGCAGCGGAAGACGCACGCGTGTCTGCCCTGTACGGGCGTGCCAAGCGCGATTCTGATCGGCCCCTCCCGGACGAGAAACGCTCCGCTCCGGCGAGAGTTGGCAACAGCGAACTGGGTCCAGCTCGCCCCGGGCCGCGCACTTAGCAAGTCGAGTGGCAAGAGTGGTCCGCATTGACGTCACCGTCTGCTTCCTGGGCTGAGTGGCCGGGCTGGGTTTTCATAATGCTATTTATAGTGTCACTCAATGTGCACAAGTTGATTGGGGTTAACGCTCTTGTAAAGCAGGCGTTTTTCACGCGGCTCTCCGAAGCTATCTCAGCTGTTTAGATTGCTTGCGCTGCAATATGTATGGACGTCACGGTAAATAGTAAGCTCAATTAAACCGTCAAAGCGCGGGGTATGTGGAATCTAAATGGAAAAGGCAACACCAGCCTGCACATATGGCGTGTGTATGAAGACAGGTGAAAAGCTATCTTTAATGTCAACCGGTGACAGCGTACCGCGGGCATTTAGACTAAGTTCAAGGATGAGAAAGACGTTAATCCCCAAGTGAAGGATAACGGTGTGATGATGCTCGTAAACGAGTTTGTATTGTTGCCTGACCCGATCGAGTTGATTTTTGCGACCATTTAGCGAGCTTCGGGGTTCAGACGCATAAAACTGATTGAATTCCGGGCCCAAATTTTCTTTATTGGTTAATATCCGCGGAAGAACTTGTAGAACATTGGTAAATATCATGGTTCATTTGCATTGTGCACTCGAATACTTCAGCCAGATTAATCTTGTCCCCGTCTATTCTGCTGTCAATCATGAAAACAGCACGCAGCTGGGGCTTTCTTTGAAGTGACTGGGTTCGACCGCCAAAGGGGACCACTGACCTGTTCGTACCTCGCGCCTCCAGGCCCCGACACACGAACGGCCACCACGAGGATCTGACGCGCTACCTGGAAGCCGAAGAACACGGCAAGCTGGACAGCGACTGTGGCGCCGTCTATCCAGCCTGCCCGGTCTCCCTCTTCCAGAAGGTGGCGCCAGGATCGATGCACTTCGAGTAGGCGACGCCAGCGATGCCGCCATAGATTCGTTTTAGTCCAGTGTGCAATGATCACGCACCAGGGGCGTAGTTTCGCAAAATGAGTTTGGCGAGAGGGCAAACACTGGAAAACGACTGCACCTGCCCCAAATAGGCAACACACGGATTTTTCCCGGATTTGGCCCACTTTCTTGTCAAGTTGAACAGGGGGGGGGGGGGGGGGGAAGCGCAAGTTGGGAGAGGGAGCCCGAGGCTCTTCCTCCTCCAACTGAATGGGAAACTACACCCCTGTCACGCACAAATATGGAACACAATGTTCATGACGCCAGTGTTTTGACGACCTTGTGCGGGCATTGTTATTATGCACCCCTTAGTGTTGATCTGTGCCACGTGCCGAAACAAATTCATGTATTCGTGCTCATCGAGAGTTTGGTCTCTTTTCTTCCAGCAGTACGACTCGGTGTACTAGCTCTACTTAGCGTAACGCTTGGGCTACGGTGCATGCAGAGTCTTGATCCTGACGCTACAGTGACAATGTGTGCAGCAAACTCGCCACGCGCTGAAGAGACTTCACGGGCTGATTTTTGGTTGAAATGTCCTTTGCATCGTAATTTCTTTAGTCTTATGCCTCGTTCTTTTAAAACCTCCCTTAGAGTGACCTTAACTTCTACTTGCTAGTGTAATACATAAATGTCATTAATCATTACATCTTAGCTATGTGGCAAAATGTAGCGTAGAACTTGTATGGTATCTCACAGCAAGTTAAAACGATGTTAAGTCATTGATGACTTATGTTCCATCCCATTAAAAGAAAGATATTCGTTACAACTAGATAGCATGGATGAATAGATTAAAAGCGAACCTTTTACGGAATTGTGGAGCGGAAAAACATGTTTTTGCTATCTGGTTTCCTTTCTTAGATACAACTAAGCACGGCTAACATCACCCATATGTAAAACAGTATTCCAGGAAGAGTAGTTCAGTGCAGGCCAAAACAGCAAGCACTCGGTTAGCTTCGTCGGGTTGGTTTTAGATGCTGTTAGCAGAAATTTGGAAGCTCATCAGCTGCTTTTGCAATTTCTTGGACGACGAATGGATGTTGCCAGATGACTTGCACTATTTTCTCTTTTGAGTTACCCGACCCTGCCTTTCATGGACCTAAAAGGTTATCTTGTTACTGTTACAATGTTATTTTGTTCTTGTTATATGTGCGTGATGGCATGATTGTATGCTCAAAGGGAATGAATTGCTGTCTGCTGCCGGATGTGTGCACTATGACAAAATGACATAAAAGAATGTCAAAACATTGACTGTTTTATTACATGTCCCACATTTGTATGCAACTAGTTTTGAAGCAGGAAAGCAAGACTGTAGTGGACGGACAGATTTTGATAAATGTGCTTAATTAGGTACCTGCTAACTATGGTAGATGAATAGATAAAGACATGTGCATCTACGTTAGGTCCTAAACAGTTATTTGCTAAGACTGAAGGAAGTTAGCTTGAGTCTATTTCTTATTGGGACATAAATTTAGTACGTTGTTTAAGTATGACATCATCATCGGTCACATCACACAAGGTTGGCTCCGCCTCACTTTAAAGTTTTCCGGATCACAGCAGAAGACAAAATCGGAAATCAAACACGGTTTACAAATATGACGCGTTTCACATGCAATAGA